TCTCTCTCTCTCTCTCTGTGTCTCTCTCTCCCGTCAAGCGAGGCGGTGCCATAACCAGCAGAGTTCTCCTTCGTTTCTCAAATCGATCACTGGAAGAATAAATTCTTACTCGACTTACGCTTCGCACACTCCTTGTTGTGATCCCGAGACTGAGCTTTGAACCTGGAAACCTCTATGATTTATTTGCTTACACTGGCAAAAAATCGAAGCCGATTGGATAGTGTAGGAGTTCAGATAAAGTGAACTAACGTTGAGGTAAAACGAAACCAAATTTTTACCTGTATGCTATTATCATCTTGATTTCATTCCTGTATTCTTCTCATATTCTCCCTATGTTCCATTCGTTCTCACTGTATTTTTTCTGCATTTACCCTACATTCTCACTGTATTTTTTTCTGCATTTACCCTGTATTCTCACTGTATTTTTTTCTGCATTTACCCTATATTCTCACTGCATTTTTCTCTGCATTTACCCTATATTCTCACTGTGTTCTCGCTGTATTTCCCATGCGTTCTTCTTATGATATTACATTATTCTCCATGTGATGTCTTAGTATTTGTCTTGTATTTTCACAATATTTCTCCTGAATTCTCAGTTTTAGTTTTAGCAGAGGTTTTACGGCGCTCGCAACTGCATAAGGTCATATGAGCGCCAGAAGGTTAGAGGTGTTACAAGAGAGTAACAAACATAAAAAAGGAGGGGATATAAGGACGATAGATGTTTGATAGGAAAGAAGAAACAAACCACACCAGAGCACCCGCCAACCACCCACTGAATTCTCCGTGTATTGCCCATGTATCCTTTCAGTGTTTTCCACTGCATTCTCCCTACATTTCCCCTGTATTTTCCTTGTTTTATCCCTGTATTCGGATAGAACTTTCTCCCTGTATTCTTCCACTATTTTCCCTTGTATTCCACGTGTTTTCTCCTTGTGCTTCACTTGCAGCTCGCTGCATTCTTCCAGTATTCCACATGTATTCCTGCTGTATTCCCCACCAGTTACCTCTAAATTAATGCCTCCTGTACTCCCATGAATTCTCCCTGTAAATCTTCTTGCATCTCCCTGTATTCCCCCTGTATTCTCCTTGTATTCTCCCTGTATGTTCTTGTATTCTCCCTGTATTCTCCCTGTATTCTCCCTGTATTCTCCCTGTATTCTCCCTGTATTCTCCCTGTATTCTCCTTTTATTCTCCCCTGCATGTTCTTGCATTTTCAACGTATTCTCCCGGTATTCTCCCTGTTTTCTTCCAGTTCTTCCTCTCTCTCCATACAGAATATACTAAGAGAACATAGAGAACCAAGAGAACACAGAGAGAATACTGGGAGAATATAGAGAATCTTATTATACTAAAAGAACTCTTGTCACGGTCAACCTAAACCGGTTACTGGTGTCCCTGAAAGACCGGGGTGGTCAGTGCGCCGGTTTGTTGACACTCGGGGTTACGTCACAGCGGTGATTCAGCTGTTTGATCCCAGGTCAGAGGTCATGGCTCAGGTATACGGTTTAGGCGAGCGGTGAGGGGTGGGGTGGGAGGGTGTACTTAAGTAGACGTTAGTTGTTCCGCCTAATGAACACTGGGAAGAAATAACCGTTACATTATTACAGGTTGCTCGATCTTGGCAATGTAACGCTGTAATTAATTGTAATTGTAGCTGATGAATGATTGTAATTATAATAGTAGCCTACTTGTAATTGTAATAATAATAGTAATTGTAATTGTAATTGTAATTGTTATTGTTATTGTAGTTATTATTGTAGTTGTAGTTGAAGAATGATTGTAATTGTAAATATAGAATGATTGTAAATGTAATTATAAAATGATAGTAATTGTAATTGTTCTTGTAATTGTAATTGTAGAATGATAGTAATCGTAATAGTGATTTAATTGTAATTGTAATAGTGATTAAATTGTAATTGTTATTGTAGATCTAATTGTAATTGTGAGTTTCATTGTAATTTTGTAACTGTGATCTTGGTTTTAATTGTAACTGTAATTAAAATGTAAATGTAATTGTGTCCTTGGGAATGGCACTTTACACGAATTTTCCTCACTTCACCCAGGTGAGAATGGGAACCTAGCCTTAAACTGCGAAAGATCTTGTTAGTATGTCAGTATTTTAGCGTCTATAAAATGGCTGCTTGCACTGTATGTATCCTAGGAAGTTGAGATTGTTTCAGAATGCTCTCAGGTCTGTTGGGGTAATAGAATAGATTGTGAAGTGCATAGAGCTTGCTGTTGAGCAGGAATCCGTGCTATACAAATGTTATCTTTTATTATCATTGTTATATTACATGTATGGTCATTGTAATTGTAGATGGTTAATGTCCCCGTCTTCATTATGTAGATAATTTAGGCTGTCTGTCAGGGTCAACCCGGGCTCAGTGGGATGCAAAATTCCAAAATCAGGCGAAGTTTAAAAACAAAACCCTCCCTACTCGGCAATCGAACTCATGGCGTCTAATGCGAGCGGCGGCGAAACGTCGAACCGCTGCGCCACAGACGCTGGTAATGTAGCCCTATTGTAAAATGGTGAAATGGTATAGGTTTAACGCCCCTATCAACACTATTAGGTTATTTAAGGGGCGGGACCTCCTTGTTTAACGACCGTCTCCGATAGGACCGAGCCAAGTGGGAAGTTCGAGTAAAGTGTCTTTCCCAAGGACACAACGTCGGAGCCCTATTGTTGGGCCGTTATTGCAGATTCGTAGACGATGTAAAAATCTTGTTTAATAATGCTTTAGTAAGTTTATTTAGTGTAATTACGAAATGATCCAAAGTTTCTTGTCTAGGGAACTGACATCAGTTGTGTGACCACTACCCTAGAATTACAAAGTTCTGTGTGCTCAGAACCAAGTTTTGAGAAATTTGATGTTCAAGATTTTGAGTTTCACAACATGTCATGCTTTTTTTAATGCAATTCTTTGAATATCTTGATAAAGACTCTGAATAATCTTACGATTTTGTTAGAGCAGATAGAACACTTAATTTTGTTTTCTGACCTCGTGATGTAAGTAACTCTAAATGGCCTAAAATGTCAGATAGAACGTTGTAATTCTGAGCTTCCATAGTGTTGTGGTTAGACACATACATTTATTGCTATTATTAGCCCCTCCCCGATGCGTGTCTCTAATCAGCGGTTGCTCGGTCCTTTCGGAGATGGACGTTCAACTCGGAGGCCCCGCCTCTTAAAGAACCCTCCAATAGTGTTGATAGGGCCGTTAAACCTATACCATAGGGGGCTCTCGTGGCCTAGAGGTTAAGGTGTTGGCCTCTCATTCAAAGGTCCCGGGTTCGAATCCGGGTAGCGACCGAAAAGTTGTCTTCTCTAAAATTGTCTCCTTTCACCTCCTTTCCTGCTCTCTAGCAATGTTCTGTTGTCTGCTTTCATTTCCACTTTCTGCCCCCACCCC